TTGCTGAAAAAGCTAGAACTAACTATGTAATTAAGCATATAGTATTAGATGTATATGATAATATGAATATAGAGTAACATACTTAAGGAACATAATTCTACATGCTATGATTTTCTTACAGTTGGAAGAATCTTGTGCAACATTGAGGCAACAATGGGATGTTGAGGCGGCACAAAATAATCCTACACCTTATGCTCGCCAATCTAATGAGGATTTCTTTGAGCCATTGCCATGCAACAATAACTCACCGCCAAACGGGTAAAAATTCTAAGACTCTTGTCTTCTCTTCATCTCCATTGATTCAATTGATTGATTGATCATTAGCCCTTAAATGAGTAGCTAATTAAATTCATCTCCTTTCGGCTTTTGCGCAGTTATAATGTTGCGACGCAGGATCACTTGAACAACGCGACAACCTCAACTCATAATGACAATAATAATGGCTTTACACCAGCATGGTTGCTTTGATTTACATGAACTGTTTTTAAGTATAAGTTTACTTCTTGATGATTAATCTAACTATAATGGACTTTGTATGTAATAATAATGTATGTTTATTATAGTCTGAATAAAGCAATTGAAAAGGGCACATATTTCATTTACTAAAAAGAATGTAATTTAATGGATGAATTTTACTACTTTATGACCCATTATATTACAATGGAAGAAGACTTGAAAATTGAAACTTTATTGATACATTACAACCGAATAAATTAAGCTCATCAAGTGAAGTGGCTAACTAGTTTTTTAGCCTCTTTTAGTTTTAAATTAATTTTTTAATTATTAGTATGTTTGATCTTGTAAAATTGATTTTTATTTTTATTTTTATTTTTTATTTTTTTTAAAGCTTGGACATCAATTAAATTTTTTTATAGTAAATTAAATAAATAGGATTTAAACCTTGTGTATGTTAGAAGTTTTATGGAATTTCTTGTCAAAAAAAAAAAAAGAAGTTTTATGGAATTTATACACCATAGAAATCAGGTTAAAATCAATCATCAATCAATCAATAAGTATATACTAAAAGACACACCAGCAATGACATGTGTTATCTCCTGGTGTGTCCTTATTTTTTTTTTATTTTTTTTTTTGAAAAAAATTATTTAAGAATCAAATCCTTTACATATATAAAGTATAATAGAAGATTTGATGCGTCTTTCCAAAAAAAAATGACAACTATGAACTTAAATTAAGCAAAAAATAAAATAAATAAAATAAAATTCTTATCATATTTGTGACATGTGGAGTATTTGTTTTAGGAAAGCCATACATTATATATGTACGTATTATGTATGTCGTACGTAGTACATACACGTTTATTACAATAACATTATATATTTTCTTAATAGAAGCTAAGCTACAAGCTTCAACAATGAAATGCCCCTATCAAATCAACTAATGAAATTTTTGCTATTTCTTTGAATTATTTATGACTAGAATATTAATCAATTAATACTATACTATAATTAACTATGGATACTTCAATAAAACTTGCCAAGACCGGTACATGTTGATTATTATTAGTGTAATTTTTTCTTGCCAAATTTTGTTGTTCCATTCAATTGATATGAATATAACATACGAAAGTAATTTTTTTTTCTAATTTTTATTTATATAGTGTTAATTTTAAAAATAGTTATTGGAAATTACAATATAGTGTTAATTTTAAAAATTATTTGTTGGAAATTACCGTGCAGAGCACAAGAGCTAACCTAGTATGCTTTTAAATTAGACCTATTTGTGAAAATTACATTAAGATCACGTCAGGGTAGTCTTCTCTTAATACCATGATATACTTTCCTCCGTTTTTATTGACTTGTAAGCTGCAACACACCCTTTTAGCACACACTTTAAGGAAAATATTAGGGCTTGTTCACATTTACTTAATTTCAGTTCAGTTCAATTCAGTTAAGTTCAATTCTAATCAGTTCAGTTTAGTTCATCTAAGTTCAGTTCTAATCAGTTCAGTTCAGTTCAGCTCCAATCAGTTCATTCAGTTCAGCTCCAATCAGTTTAGTTCAGTTCAGCTCTTAATTTCCCTCTCTCATAAAATATTCGTTTCAGCTTAGTTAAGTTCAGTTCAGCTACAATCTGTTCAGTTCAGTAAATGTGAACAGGCCCTTAGACCAAGTAATTATAGATCAGACAAACTAGTTGACAAAATTTTACCACTGATAAGACGAAAATGATAAGTTGTTACAGTTTACATGTTATTGCTTAACCCCATTTACCTAGTTTGCCAAAAAGGTGAGTTGCACGAATAAAAAAAAAAAGTCTTGAGGAGAATGATGATAATCTCACATAAATCATCTTATTCTTCATTTTATTAAATACAAGACCTAATATTATTATAATTAAAATTGAAACTCACTCTAATCATCAATTAGTATTGGAATTACAATCAAAGAAAGATTCTTCGATATGCCAAGCTCAAAAGGGCAAGGATTAATAGAAAATCAAAGGTAGCAAATAATTTCAAAATTCAACACCAATTTAAAATCAAATTATTGGAAGTAAATATCATAATAATATAATATGCTTTTCAAAATTTAATTTGACTGAAATATATAACTTGAATTATTGGAAGTAACATCATATTCTATCTTAACGATAAAATACCATGTGTGGGCATTTTTCATTGACTCATAGTGTCCGTAAGAGACAAGGTACGATGTGACCCCAATGATACTTTTACTAATCTTAGCTCTCACTCTCTCAGGGTATGAATTATGATGTCTATAGTACATCCTTTACTGTGTGCTTTGGCTCATGAATACCAAGCTCAAGTTTACCGCATGTACGAAGTAGTATAAAAGTCAAAATAATGCATTTGTTGAGATACAATTAAAAGTATAGTGTGTACTCTACTACTGTACAATTGTACATGACCAAAATTACTGCTTGTACAAACTATACATGGAAACAATCGCTTCCTCAGTGTATAATGTAGTTTGATCTTAACGTACATTTTCAATATACAACCCTTCTTCTATCTTTTTTGTTAGATACAACCATAGACGGGTTTGGACCACACGAGTTATAAAAAAAAAAAAAATCCATTTCAAGGGAGGTTCTATCCCTAGATCATTTTTTTAAAATGTAGAGAGACCTACAAGGCTACAAGGACAATCAATGTAGACGAGATTTGATATCAAGTACTTAGTGCCATCTTTTAAGACAACCAAGTTAGCTAGTTGATTGTTCATAACCGGATAACCATCAGACAACAAGTTGGAGGAGTACGTAGCTTCTTATCCTAGCTTATAAAAACTCATATGTTTAGACACGCTATACTTCAACAAATTCTACAAATAGATAACTAACATAAATTTTCATATATGGCTGGCCACACTGTTTTGTCGAGTTTACTTATTTAGGGTAATCTCTAACGGACTGTGTAACTCTTTACTGAATAAGTAACCCTAATCGATCAAGTAACCCTTGAATAAGTACCCCCTGACCGACCAAATAACCCCTAAATAAATAGCTCTGGACATATGATGTGGCCAACCACAAAGAAAACGGGAAATATTAATAATAACTAAAGTTCTGCTTTTATCAATTGTAAAAGTCAAAAGGATATAGCTTATATGTAAATAAAAACAAAGATTATTACCCTGTAATTGACAATAGTCTAATGTTTTGTATGGAATAATTATTATAGGCAAAAAAAACTTTCAAGAAAATTAAGATATACTCTAATTAATCTAAGATATAATTCTAGATTAGTTTAGGCAAATTGTTCCGTTCAAAAAAGTTCATTTCAAACAATAAATTTATTACTTAATTTGAATCTTGCAATTAAGCATTCAAAATTTGAGGAAATAGTAGAATTTCTAAATCAATCCCAATATATAAGAACAAACATAATCATTTGGGAGTGTTATTTGATTTATCTCAATTATTGTTTTAAGAACATCAAAATCTTATAAATCTTACTAAGGACTTGCTCACTTCATTTTAAGAAAATAATATTCAGTAAAAATAATTTCAATTCAGCAAAAATAAGTTCAGCTCGATAAAAATAATTTCATTTCAGTAAAAATCAGTAACTTTGAAGAAGAAATATAACAGAAAATCAGTAAAAAAAAAATATATAATTTCAGTTCAGATTAATTCAGTAAATATAATTTAACTTCATCAAAATGATTTCAATTTAGTAAAATTAAGAACATTAATATTTAAAAATATGCATTGATTAATGTACACGTCATAACAGGGCACATGAAAGAGAAACAAAATGAATATATACTTTAGATAATTATAAGTATAACCAAATTTAGGCTATATATGGTTGCTCAATTTTACTATTAATTCATTGGTATATAAACAATCAAAAGATCTGATATTATGTAAATGTAGTGGGGAGGTGTCAAAATTTTGTCAGACTGATCCAACCCAATGAGGAAAAAAAATCCGACTCAGATTTTGATTTGCATAGACACAATAATTTAGCATAACTCAACTTAATTACTCAAGTTTAAACTTAGACTCGACACGGCTTGACCTCTCCAAACCCAAACCAGACACCTGAATAGACACCTTTAAACTCATCCAAGAGTTTAGTTCACTCTAGGTCCATTTCGAGTATATTAGAGTTTATGATTTAGTATAACATATTTGACTTAGTTTGTTATTAGTTTCTTACCAAATTCAAATTTTGTTAGTTAAAACATGTAATTAGTTTGGAGAGTATAAGTTAGTTAGTTCATACTAACACACGTTTGATAAAAAATGTAGCCCTTCAATTAACTTTCTCTCTCAAAACAATCAAGCTCTCTCTTCCCTCAACAATGTCTTCCTTCTTTTCTCTTCTTTCCTTCACTATTTCCACCGTACCAATCTTAACAAACCCACTAAAACTTTTACTCACAAAATTTACTTACATAATTTTACATTAAGCACTTGATTAGCAAACCCTAAATTTAATTTAATATAGACACTAATCAAACATCCGCATAATTAGGCTAAAAATTGAGCATACTCCCCGTGCGTGTAGGGTCCATTTTCTTCCTGTAAAAAGATCAAACATTCCTAGCTCGACAACACAACATCCCATAAACCACTTTTGGTTTTCATAAAAACCACATTTCCTTTTCATAAAACAATAATCAACATTTATATTTTTAATATAAAATTACAAAAATTACACAAAAAAAAAAAAAAAAAAAAAAAAAAAACTTATCTTCTCCTCATTAATAATCTTGAATACTACTCCTCCTACCTTTTCCTAAACCGTACAACACTCTCTTTACCCCCAATACTCCATATATACCACCACCACCACCACCATATCCTTTCCGCTGTCTAAAAAATTAAATCACGCATCAATTGGTGTAATTAAAAATTATCGACCATCACAATATAGTGGTATCGAAAATGGGGAGAGGAAGGGTGCAGCTAAAGAAGATAGAAAATAAGATAAATAGACAAGTAACATTCTCAAAGAGAAGAAGTGGGCTTGTTAAAAAAGCACATGAAATATCAGTTCTTTGTGATGCTGAAGTTGCTCTAATCGTTTTTTCTCACCGTGGAAAACTCTTTGAGTATTCCTCTGATTCTTCGTAAGTATATTATTGTTGTACCAATTTTATATTCCGTATATAGTATGTATATTAATAGTAACATATTATTCTATATTTAGGTCTATGTATTTAATGGTGAGTAAATCTTGCAATTTTTATAACTTGAACCTTAATTTTTTAAAATATTCTTTACTTGTTTTGAATCAATTTTTTTTTTATCCCTTCACGTGTGTTGTATTTAACTTTTATTGGATTTTTAATTTTTTTATAAAAAAAATGGTTGATGAAATACACAAAGAAAGGTTAAAGCAAAATTAAGGTTTGTTTGATGTATACTATGATGAACTTGTATAGATTAGGAAATACATGAAAAACCTAACTATTTTCATGCAAGAAAACATTATATATACCCTCGGATTTATTAATTCGATTCGATTTATCTGAATATATTTTTAAAAGTATTCCTAATAGGAAAAATTACTACAGTAGTAATAAACTAACCCTAGTAAAAATATATAAGTAATTTATAACATCATGTAATTCTTCATTCGATTTACTAATACTAAATTTTTCCTATAAAGAAACCAAAATGGCTAGCTTTTTTATTTATTATTTATTACTCCTTTTTTTTTTTTTTTTTTTGGTCTTTAGAGAACTACAAGAGTAGGGTGAAAATCGATAATGGCTAGCTTGTTAGGTTAGTTTTCTTTAATAAACTCTTGGTTCAGAATTAATAGTCGGTTCGATATATATATATATATATATATATATATATATATATATATATATATATATATATATATATATATATATATATATATATATATTATTGGGTTTTTAAAGTAGTCTTAGCTACTTCCTTAAAAAAAAAAAAAAAAAAAAAAAATAAAAAAAAAAAAATAAAAGAGCTACTATCATAGCTGATGATGAAGGGTGGGTAGCTACATGAAATAATATTGGGAAGGAAACGTAATTTTTGTACTACTTACAAAATGTGAACATGCTTGAATTGTTTGCTACTTGAATGAATTCAGCTAAAGCTAGTAGCATATTTGGTTAATAAATTATTTAGTACTTTGGACATAAATAAAATTATAAAATTTGTATAATGTACAAAGACTTGATCCAATGGGTAATGGTAGATTTGACCATACAATGAAGCTAAGTATTAATTGTTTTCAGCTTTAATTTAATTTATTATTTATACATCAATTTTATTGGTTCAAACGAATTGAATTGAACTAATCTTGACCTTGCTATCTCTTGTCAATTTCGTCCTTTATTTTTGTTCTTTTCTACATGTGCTATAACATTGAATTTTCCTCATTTTTATTCTTAGTGTTTACACCTTACTTATTAATTAGTAAAAATTTAATTAGATTGGGATTGTTCGGATGACAAAAGAGCTGATCTTGTCTATCTATCAAAAAATAAAAAGAGTGATCTTGTCTAGTAATTTAGGGCTGATTCTCAAGTCAAAATAAGAATTATTTCCATACAATTTTCAATCAAAATTTGATATAAAATATACCATAGGGTTTTTCCATAGAAAAGAAGAATTTTGTAACAAATTGCTTCATACAAATTTCTTCTAGATTCCATTATAATAAATTGTTGAATGGCTTAAATATTATTTATTACCTTTTCGCCTAATTTTCCTATATTAAAAACAAAACGACACGTATGAGTGCTCAAGTCCATATATTTTCATAGGAAAACTTGTCATGGTAATTATTTTTGTTTATATTTTTAGCACTCTTTTAGTGAAAGTGCAAATTAGCCCACTAGCTAAATACCCTTTTTGTGAAATAGATAGATGCTCATTTTATCATTAGATGAAGATATGAAGACATGCATGCTTTTTGCACTTTTTCCCTTTTACTTTAATTTTCATATATGTTAAAATACATATCAAGAAATTTTTTAGAAAATGAATTACGAGTATAAGTAAACTATTGTAAAAGTAAATTATTTATGTAAAACTTTATTATCAATAATTTGTTTGCTCTTAAGGAGTTAAGGGTTCTTACTTTAACAAATTCATCAAAAATAAATAAACAATTAAAAATAAATAAATAAATAAATAAAACCACTAATCTAAAAATGTGATTTTAAGAAAGTATCTCAATGATATGGATCAGAGAAGAAGAAGAAAAAAAAGAATCATGGATGTTCTGTCATAAATTGAGTACTAGTTAGCAGTAGCATCACATATATGAATGTACTCAGTATATGATTTTGCGTGGTCTAGGGTTATGAAATTGTGGGCTTTATATGTCTTTTCAATTCCAAAATTTAATTAATTATGCTAATTTATTATAATGTTGTTCAATTGCTTCAAAGTATGGAGAAGATCCTAGAGAGGTATGAGAGGTACTCTTATGCAGAAAGGCGGCTAACTTCTAATGATCCAGACTCACAGGTACTACATCTAAACATTGTATGTAAAAATGTACATATACAATGTTCTGCGTATATAGTAATAACATTATGATTTAAAAGTATACATACCAATTACATTTTCGAGTTCTTCCAACTATACATGAATATGATCCTTGTTCGGTTCTTGGAGAAGGACTTCCCTTGTTCGATTTGGATTGAGTTGACATGTCTAGTCTAATAAGGGTATTTATCTTTACTAGTTTGAAAAAATTAATTGGTTTATATCTGACTTATGTAGAATATGTTTTTGATTCATTTGAATGTTTGATGAACACATATAGGAAATGTCTTATGAACCGTTGCTAAAAAATGGATATAAAAGGGAAGACCAACATGTATTTAATTTGAACAAACAATTATTAATGTTGTTCAGCATAACATTTACGTTATTGTTCTAAATATTTATGAGGAATTAGGTATTTTTATGACTGGCTTTGTTAAATATAGGTAAATTGGACCTTTGACTTCGCCAAACTGAAGGCCAAGCTTGAACTTCTACATAGAAATCACAGGTATGGTGACAAGCTAGACTTGTGTATGTGATCGTATATTCGTATGTGATATACTCCAAGTTCGTCAGTCATACCACTTTTCGTGTTAGGTGTTCTACATATTTGTTACATGCCTTTTCGTATTAGATATTCTCATTGTACCTATTATTAGTCGCTTTCATGAAAGGTGTTCTACATATATTTGTTACATGCCCGTTTTGTATTAGGCATTCTCTTCGTAAATGTCTCATAATGTCAACTTTTACTTGTACAATCTATGTGTATAAAATGATATTAAAAATGTAACATGCATGTTTAATCAGGCACTACTTAGGACAAGAGTTAGACTCACTCAATGTGAAAGAACTCCAAAGTTTAGAGCAACAACTTGATACTGCTCTAAAAAATGTTCGATCAAAGAAGGTATATTGATTATTTTATTTGTTTTATTGTAACTATAAGAAATTGATCAATTGAAAACAACAAAGTATTTTGAAATTTAACAAAAACATTATAGGATCTAGATTTTAACTTGCTTGAATTTTTATGACAGAACCAACTGATGCATGAGTCCATCTCTGAGCTCCAGAAAAAGGTAATGCCCTTTTTAATCAGCCATTAGGTTCATATTGGCTTCTTTTTGGTCATAGATATAAGTACGGTTTTCACGCTCTTTTCTATTCATTTTTGTTTTTCACGATGTCTAATACATGTCATGTCTTTGATTGTTAATATAATTATTAATAGAGTATAAAACATATTCTTGGGCTTAAATTATTTGCTTAAACTTTTGATTGAGATGCTTGAAGTCCAAGAATATGATTCATACTCTATCGATTATCTCCAATCTTGTAACAATCATAGACTATATTGATAACAAAGAACCAATTTGTATCCTTAGATTGTCATAACTAGGTGGTGTAAATATTTTCCATGACAAATAAACTAGTCCTTGTTAACCCAATGACGTTTACTTTTTGTCTGATTTAATTTAATTTTACTAGTTTTTCCTTTATTTTAGAAATTAAATTGACAAAAATGTGTGTAAAACAATTTTAACTAATCGAAGAAATTGGAATCTTTAATTTGTTGTTATTTGATAATTATTGATGTGTTTTCTACATTAATAGTAATGAAAAATGTGCGTAAAGAGTTGCATGATTACATTTTTTACTTTTAAATTAACACTATTTATGATTTGCTTAAATGTTACTCCGGATTTCATCATCCATTAATTACATTTAGGCTGATATTTAAGAAAATAAACTTTTTTTATTAAGTAATTTAGGTTAGGGCAAAGTAAGAAACTTGGCCGGGTAAATGTTCTAAGTGGATGATAATTACATTATGTACTCAAATGAAAACTCTAAATTAATGCTAAGCAACTTTCTTGATCTATAGTAAACTCTTCAATTCAATTTCATTTCAAATTAAAGAGTTTTCAAATCAACCTGTAAATGGGTGAAGTTTAGCTTGAGGAGCTTTTGATTGGTATTGTAATAAACACGAACACAAACTTGACCCGACCTTTTTTTTTTACCCACTCTTGTTAATTTACATGTTGCGCTTATCATACGCTCTTCAATTTGCAGGAGAGGGCAATGCAGGTGCACAACAATATGCTGTCAAAGAAGGTACTTTCATACTTCAGTTAATTATGTAATTGACATTACATAATCCTGTACTTTTGGTTGATCAACTAACATGTTTTTTTGTTAGTTTACTTAAATTTTGTCTGCTGGTTTTGTTGGAAAATACGTGCTATGTTATACAGATCAAGGAGAAAGGAAAAAACATGGCACAAGTGCAACAGTTGCAGTGGCAGGAGCAGCAGTCACCACCGCGAAATCATCAAGAAGGCCCTTCTGATGCATCTAATTTCCTACTTCCACCTCCACCACCTTCTTTAAACATGGGGTAGTTTCTTTTTTAATCACCATTATTAGTAGCTTATTGGTCAATATGATAATTTTAGGTCTAGGAAGTTCTATTAAGTTCAATTTTAGGAAATATATAAGTTTAAATAAGGGTTAATCAAGTTCAAATTACAACTAAAATAAGTTTTAATAAAGTCTAATAAGTTCAAGTAAGTTCAAATAAGTTCAGAAAAGATCAGATAAGTTCAAATAAGTGATAATCAGGTGAATAAAATACACCCTTAAATTTCACTTATTTAGTTATTTTAGCACGGGCTATCAGGTTAAGGGCAAGTCGTGTTATCGTGTATCACCTGTAATTTGATAAATTTATCATAAGTTCACAACCCTAGGGTAGTAGAACGCTAAAAGCATGAACTATAAAGCAACCTCTGATCAAATAGTTAGTTGATTAATTAACAATGCCATTATGTTGCTAACCTAACAGTAATGTTCATCATGCAGTGGTGCATACCAAGGTGAACTTGGTGGTGAAGGAAGGAGGAATGATCTTGATCTGACACTCGAACCAATATACTCATGCCACATGGGATGCTTTACTAATTGAGAGAATAATCAACTCAAGGTATTTATGAGATATTAATGTATCTTAATTATATTGCTCATGAAGCCCTAAAAAAAGACCAATTATTAGAGTTGTATTATGCATGTATTATTAGTTTGTTACTGCAGTAACTCGTTACTAATTAAGCTCGTTTAATGCACGAGTTGGATTTTCATATATTATGTAACAACAAAGTTGGTTATAAATAAATGGTAACAACAATGAGAATTTTATGTTTGTATCTACTTATATGATTTTACACCTCTTGGCCAATTTCAATACTGTATATCCTTACCCTAAGTGGTTATTCTATCTATATTATAACAATTATAAAATGTGTGTTCTTATGACTACAATTTAATTCTTACTAGTTACTACTAACAAGTAACAACATAAATGTCACCTACTATAAGTCTCTATAATTAAATTGAGGTGCGAAATTCTAATAATTTTGACACAAGTTAAAATGACTAGTACGACACATTTATCATCCCAATTTATTTATAACCCTAAAATTGAAGTAAAAAAAGTGTTATTCAAAGTTAATACTTTGGATTTCTTTAGGTTTTCCATTTGCACTAGTTGAAACTCTTAAAATGCACTAGATCAATTGTACACTTGAAATTTTCATTCCTAAGTAGGAATAGGAATACTACCACAGTTTTTTTTATAAATTAGTTACCTTATCACCTTGACAATTAAATCTACAGGAATTGAAAAAGCCAATTATAAGAAATATTACCTCCGTTACATGTTATGTGCAACGATTAGACATTTTCCCTCTCTGTTTTATGTCAAATCGTTGCACATAACCTATAACGGAGGTAGTAAATGCAAATCATAGAACTTTTTTTTTTTTTTTTTGAAGGAACATAGAACAATTTCAATTGAATGCGAATGGGTTGCTTGCTATTTATTATCCTCAGCTCGTGTGTCTATACCGTCGTTTCTTGCTAATTACATTTGAGAGAGCTCTAGCTACAAAACTAACAGCTCCAGAAAACAACTACAAGACCTATAACTTTGTTTTACTCGTATTTGCAGTTAAATTTAAGCCAACTTTACTCAAATATCGAATTACCTCTCTTTACTTCTTTGATGTTCGTTATCTTAAGTTTTTGGTGTGCTCCAAGATCTCATTAGTTTTCACTAATCACCATCAGCTACAACAATTAAAAGAAATTTTCTCAGTTAAGGAAGAATTATAACCACTATACACATGTACGTTACAAATTAATATTAAAATCACGGTACAAAATGAATATAACGTGACACATAAAACCTTCAAAATCACAAAAATCAGCAAAAGATAGTGAAAAAAAGGAAGATGCATTACCCTGAAACAAATTGGACACCTCTCACTTCGTTCCAACCAGTCGTATATACAGCTAAGGTGGAAATGGTGTGAACATTCTGTAATTATCCTGGGATTGTCAGGTTCATAATCTGCATTAACAAACCCAGTAGAATAAGATCAGTCAAAGGAAGTTCGGCCTTCAAATCCTTAATAAGCCTCGCTTTTGCCTTACAGAAACAACAGCGAAGGACTCATCCTATGGACTAATTTCATGAATTAATTAAATTAAAAACGGTATACCTTCCAAACAGGTCGGACAAACATCCTCTTCGTCTGCTGATGGAAACACTTCATAGAATGTTCCATCTGCTTTTGTAAATGACTTTTCTGAGTTAGGAGAGGCTTCTTTAGTACAGGAATCTATCTCAGTCTTCGAATGTAGTCCCTCTTCCTGGGACTGCACATTTTCGACATTTTGGTGAACGTGACATGAGTCTGGATTTAAGGTTTCAGTGACTCTATCATTGACAGTAGCAGTAGCAGCAGCAGTACTGTTAGGAAATGGATCGATCCAGGGGTTTTGTTCTGAAGACTGATGATGGTGTTCGAGATGTGAGATTGTGTTTATAATCTCAGATGTGACTTCGTCACTGACAGAAGCAGCATCAGCAGTACTGTCAGGAACTGGATCAGTCCCGGGGCTTTGTTCTGAAGACTGATGAAAGTGTTCGCCACATGAGCTTGTGTTTTTAATCTCAGCTGTAACTTGCTCACTGACAGTAGCAGCAGTACTGTCTGGAACTGGATAAATCCCAGAATTTTGTTCTAAAGACTGATGATGGTATTCGCGACATGAGTTTGTGTTTAAGATCTCAGCTGTGACTTCCTCACTGTCAGAAGCAGCTGCTCTGTCAAGAGCTGCTTCTACAACAGGGTTTTGTTCTAAATTCTGAAGATGTCCACTTTCTACATTTGTGTGTTCGCGACATGAACTTGTGTTTACGATCTCAGTTGTGACTATCTCATTGACAGTAGTAGCTGCTTCATGAGGAATTACACCTACCTCATCAAGGCTTTGTTCTGAAGGCTGATTTTGTCCACTTTCGACTCTTGGGTGATCAAGAGATGAGCTAGTATCTAAGATCTCAGATTTGACTGCCCTGTTGACAGATGCAGCAGGTATATTAAGGATCACAGTAGTTCTGGGGGATTTTGGTACGCTATTTGGATGAACGCGATATGAGCTTTTATTTAAGATCTCTCGCGGTTGCAATGAATTAGGAAGATGATGGACTTCGTTTCCATGGAATACTCCTTTGATCTGTAACAATAATAGGAATGAACAAAAGAAATAAAACTCAAGTCTAATGTAGATTACATAATTTTATTATTCTAGATATAAAATGCACACACCAGTAAAATTTACTCTATCTTGCCTCCATCTCAAAAAGTTCTTCCTGCTTTGTTTTTTTTTTTTTTTTTTTTTGGATAATCATCGTCCAAAGAGGATCCAATGGAGTATATTATAGTTTACCTACTAGTAGTTAAATTTTGAATCTTATAAGGTTCGTAGAACAGCAAATTAATAGGCTATTCTATAGGAAAAATTGTCCAAAACAATTTCTTGATTCCTCAGCACGTTTTTACTCTATAGTAAAAATCGCAAGATATTACTTAAAAACTAGTGGTTTCGAGCCGCTAGCGATTTTAATATTTATACATATGAAATTGATTATAGTTAAGGAAAAAAGAGAGGAATAGATACCTTATTACATATGGAATAAAAAGAAATTAAGCAATTTCTTGACGATGAAGCATGAGAATTTTCTGTTTGTGTTTCTGATTCTGGTGGATCATCTTTAATCGGAAGGCAACAAGTTATACCCATTGTTTAAGTGTTCTGCGTCATCATTGTACAAGAAATTATCAATTTGACTTGATCAACGAATTTTGAATTAATAATGTTTCGGGTGAAAACAATGGGACCTTGTCGAAGGTCCGATGAAGTGGAGAAGACTAGATTCGATCCAAGTAATGTTGGGCCGAAGGTTTTCTGCACAGTAAACACACGTAAACTAGCCTCGGGGGTGTTGCCGAGGAAGGCCCCTCCGATGCTAAAGTCAGTACAGTGTGTAGAAAGAGAACACTATGCAAGAGAATTAATTGCTTGAGGCTTTGCTTGAATGAATGTACAAATGTAATATTGATGGCTTTTATACCTCTGCATACATGGAGAAGTTGGGCCTTAGCCCAATTGGCTTGCCTTGAGGACTGATCTTTGACTTTAGCACAATTGGAGAGATGAACCTTGACCTTGGGCTTTTAATTGGATCATTTAATGCCTAGGCCCAATTGGACTAAATTGGACCCAAACAACTTGCCCCCCAGACCCGATTTGGAAGGATGACGGGTCGGGTTTGATTTAATCAGAAAAGGAGGGAAGTGAATGATTTAATTAATCCAAAAATTTGAATTTAAACCGTAATTAATGAGATAACAACAGTTAAGGCGGATAATTGTGGAAGTTGGACGGATAATGGGCAGTTTAATCGCTAGGTCGTGTGTTTAACGGTTACTTAGTGGGGTATTTAAGAGAAATTGAAACGCGGACTCCCCGTATTCCCATTTCTGGAGATATAATTAGAGGCGCGTCATCTCTCCTCACTTATTCACCAACACAAACCCAGAATTCTCGAGAGAACCCAAGAACCCGCATCAAAACTTCGCAAATTCCCCGAGCATTAAGCTTAGAAACTGAGACTCGCCACTACCAATTCGTAAATCGGCAACTTTCGCTTCAGATTAAGGTAAATTCCTTTGATTTTAGTTTATTTTTCTTCGAATTTGAACTCCTTCCCTTTTTTTTCGACTTTTTTCTTCGAAATTATCAATGGCGAGAGGAGTTAGGGGTAGAGCCCGTGCTCCAAGAAGAGCAAGGCCAATTCCCGATCCCAGGAACAAGATTGGGACCTGGAATGGACAAAGAGCAGAGTCTGACCCTGCTGAAGGGATTAGGGCGACTCCAATTTCCTCGGCTCCTCCTCAGAGAACGGAGGGGCCGAGCGCTTCTGGGCGGGACGATGAAGTTCCCGCTGTCCTTTGGGATATCCTTCCCGGGTTTTTAGAGTGGGAGGATGCCGAAGTAGCTTCGGCCATGATAAAGAACCGCCCCTACTCATGGTGGGTGGAGAATTCCGAACAGTATCGGTTTGCCGAACAAATTGAGTTGCATTACGGCATCCTTGAAGCTGATGGGTATTGGTGCTGAATGCCCGTGGCATCCGATAGAATCCATCGTCCACCCCCGGGGTATGTGGGGGTGTACACAAGACAACTTCAGTATGGGCTGAGGTTCCCTTTGGACGTATTCGTCCGAGACTTGCTGATCCATTACAATATTTCCCTATGTTAGCTAACTCCTATTAGCATCCGAAGGGTGATGACATACTTATGGGTCTGCAAGTTCTTCAGGTATGTGCCGAGCGTAGTTCATCGGCTAGTGCCAAATATTCAAAGTGGGCACGGAAGTCATGGTTCTGGGTGGTACCGGATTGAGTCTCGGCCCCAGTACCTAACCATGTGGTCGAACGACTCTTCAGACAAGGACTGGAGAGGTCAATGGATTTGGGTTAGGGCACCCACGGACCCGGGCCACCCTTGCGTCTTCAGCGCTCCCCGGTACCTTGCTGAGCCTGCTCCCGACATGGGAAGTTTAGGTCCCCCCGCAGATAACGGCCCAGATCCAAACCTTAATCAACAGAATATCTTCGGCAAGCTGCCGAACCGGGGGGGCAGCGGCTGAATGCAGCATATCCCGGAGACTTGGCTCCCCGATACGCATTATGTTTTCCAAAAGAACATGCTAGCAGCTGTCGGCCTCAGCCGAAAGTTTAAGGATGGTAAGCTTCTTCGGCTGGGGCCGAGGCCTTTTAATTATCTCTTTTTCTCCTCT